AATGTAGGTAATGTAAAGTTTGCTACTAGTTAATGGTACAAACAAATAAAAAGACAAATTATTTTCGAGTACTTTGGAAATAACTTCATCAGGAGAATTTGCTTTCAATTAACATGTCGATTAAATTTTTTTCTTATCTTCTCGTTAAATAGGGGGAAATGCACCTGTCGCTGGCACTAAAATATAATAAAACTGGAATTAAAACGCATCGGTCGGTCTGGGCTACAACTAGAATTCTTCCCGAATTTAAAAGTGAGTCCTTTACTTTTTGAACAATAGGTGTAAGATGTGGGCCAGGTGCTTGCTCCTTAAGTTTTAAGAGACAGAGTGGCAGTCACCCCAGTCACCGGAAAAACGATGTCCTGCAGGGCCCAAGGACCCAGATGGAATACAGCAACCAGGGGGAGAGAAAGCCAAGGTTAGAATGACTGTGTTCAGAATCATGGCGATGGCAACGTAAAATGGTGCAACTTCTTTGAAAAACAGGCAACTTCTTAAACAGTTAGATCCACACCTACCATACGACCCAGCCATTCTACTCCCAGGTGTTTACCCACGAGAAATGAAACACTATGTCTCTACAAAGACTTGTACGAGAATGTTCAAAGCACTTTTACTGGTAACAGACAAAAACTAGAAACAACTCAAATGCCCATCAACAGAGGAATAAGCTATGTCCATAAAACGGAGCACCACCTACCAACAAAAAGCAGTGAGCTACAAACATACACAGTAATACGGATGAATCACAGAACAATTATATGCTGAGTGAAAGAAGCCCAACGAAAACTGAGTATCATATGATTCCACTTATGTTCACTTTAGAAAATGCAAGCTAATCTATAGTGATAGAAATGAGATCAGTGGCTGCCAGAGACAGGACTGGGGGAATTACAAAGGGGCACAATGATACTTTTGGAGGTGAGAAATATGTTCATTATCTTGACTTTAATGATGGTTTCACAGGTGTACATATATGTCAAAACACATCAGATTGTACACTTCAAATATGTGCACTTGATTATATGTCAGAGCTATTTGAAAAGAAGAAGAATCCAAAGGAGAGAGAAATTGGAGAAAAATGTGAGTTTCCAGAGACAGAACAGCTTAAACATTGGAGGACCACAGACCCTGAAAGAGAGAAAACGGCATGGAAAGGTCAATGAGAGAGAGAAGAAACTGTACTCCATTTAAGAAAAGCAGTCCACCGAGGCACTGGGCACCCCCACAGCTCTTGGTGATGTGTGCAGAAGCCCCTTGAGTTAGCAGGGAGTGATACTGTGACAAACTGAGGCCCTGGAAAAGCAGGAGTAAGAGAAACTCCTGTTCTCCCTCAGGGTTATCCAAGCCAGTCCACCAGGGTCAGAGCAGGCAGGGAGAGGAGAATTTAGGATGAATATAACCATTTGGGAGCCCTTATAGTAAACTCGCCTCTCTGCTCTAAGTCTGACATCAAAAGCACCAACACCGCATAACCTTCTTTACTCTTTAACTGCGTGGTGGTTGAGCTTGAGCATTTACACACCTGAGTCATTTAGAGATTTCTCCAAGGGCCTCAGTTTTCTCAAATGTAAAATGAGAGGGAGGGGTGGTTTAGCTCTGTGGTGTGTGGGTCATATACTGGTAAGTCCTTCCTTCCTTCATTCATTCACGGATCTTTTAGAGCACATGTGTCAAACACAAGGCCCGCGGGCCAAATCCGTCCCGCCAGGCCTTGCAATGTGGCCCGCACCGCGCTGTCATCACTGCACTCCGCTGCGTTTCCATCACAATGACAGTTTATGACTGTTCAGTAAACCATTTGGCCCGAGATTTAGGCTGGATTTTAGATTTTGGCCCCTTCTCTGATTGAGTTCGACACCCCTATTTTAGAGCATACTATATCCCAGGCACTGTCACAGACTGGCAAGCATTCCAACGGACTCCAGAGAGACTAAAAATGAAGAACTAGATAAGGTAATGTCAGGTAGAGCTAAGCTCTAAGAAAATACACCAGGCGTGCCTGAGTGCGGCGGGGGTGGAGTGCCTTCTGCTAGGGAGTTTGGTCAGGGACAGCAGCACTGAGAAGGTCAGAGTTGAACAGAGACAGGAATGATGAGAAGGAACCAGCCACCTGATGATTCCAAAGAAGAATGGGCACTAAGCGTATGTGGTTCTCTTCTCAGGTGAAAAGAAACCTACACTCTCTCTCATGTACCCCCTCCGCCCAGTAACACAGAGAAATCCCATTTACACACAACTCTCTAAAGAGTAGCTAACATATCACTTATTAGAACAACCCCTTCAAGATGGGCTTTCTCTTCTACCTGACTCCCTCATTATTTCTAAGTTTCCATCCTAGTGGTTATAAATTTTCCCACTCCTTCCAGGCAGAAGTAAACAGGATTTAAATCAGTATTATGCCGGGACCGGTTTGGCTCAATGGATAGAGTGTCGGCCTGCGGACTGAAAGGTCCTGGGTTCGATGCCCTTGGTTGTGGGCATATCCCCGACAGGCAGTGTGCAAGAGGCAGCTGATGGATGATTCTCTCTCATCGATGTTTTTAGCTCTCTGTCCCTCTCTCTTCCTCTCTGTGAAAAATCAATAAATATATATTTAAAAAAGATAATAAATAAATAAATAAATCAGTGTTATGATATTGATAGATAGTAAGAAAGAAATCCTACACTGTGACCCAGTGTATACATAAAAATGAAACGAAAGTTTTAAAAAGCCAAGCTAACCACGGGCAAGGCATTGTCATACATTCTATTGCATTTCATTTCCCTTAACTGATAAGGTGATTTCAAAGGTAATTCATACTTTGAAAGACACTATGCTAAACTAACATTAGCTAGTAATTTGGTTCAAAGACAAACAAAAACATGGAAAATTTTAATACTGAACAACCTCCCCTTCCCCTTATTTCTGTACCCATACTCGCTTGAAAGCAATGGAACCCAAATTTCTCTGTGACTTGTGGAGAAAAAGCCTAGAAGGGACATTTTTCAGGAGGATTGGGGAGTGGAGTGGGGTAAGGAGAGGAACCCCAATATGCAAACTGTTCCCTAGGTGAGGACATAAGCTTTGGCTTGCAAGATTGCCCAAGAAGGAAAGATTCACAAAGTCTACACAAAACCAAGAGGTGTGTGTGTGTGTGTGTGTGTGTGTGTGTGTGTGTGTGTGTTGGCAGAGGGGAAGCTGTCAGCAAGCCATTAAACTGTACGTGCCCAGAGGACTGGCTGCCTTCCCTCACCACAATCCCAGCTCCACGAGGACAGATGTGTGACTGTAGCACTGAGATGATCATACTTCAAATTCAGTACATCACGCAAGGGGTGCTCCATAACATGTTGTCTAATAACTTTTTAATAACGGAGCTCATTGGCACCATCAAATCCTAACTTCACATGTATACCCGGTTATCACATTTTCCTGGATATAAAAATGTCACACAATACTAAAGAAAACTTACTTATCTTCAAGTCATTGTTTATGTCCAGAGAGCTTAATGAGGTGTTTGTTTGTTTTTCTCAAGCACTAAGCAGGAAAAGGTTGTTTCCTATTGCAAGGTACAGGGAGCTACACTGGCTGTAATAGAAAGATTCCCCATCTGCTCGTGGCCAGGGGTAAACCTGGGATTAAAACGAGTGTGTTAATTTAATAGGTAATTTCTCCAGGGACGCTAACCAGTGGGCTCTGTCAGCCAAGGGCTCTCTCTGATGGAAACTGTGCCAATTTCCCCGCGAAACGCGGTTACCATCCTCACCCCTGAAGTCACAAGTGCATGCACCCAATTTCCAGTAGCCCCAGGGCCCTGGAGCCGGAAAATTACACCTGCAAGCCGGCCCTTTCCCCACACCGCCACACAGCTGCCGCCACCACGCACAGAGAACGCACGCAGCTCATTTCCGCGGTGCCCTTCAGCCCCACTTAGGGACATCATTAATGATCTCAAATTACAACTGTTGCTGCATCTGCGAGCGGTGATGGATAGGGGAGCCACATTCATGATTGCTTTCTTCCACGTCATGTATCTGCTCTCCTCTGGGGGCACAGAAGATGTGGAGACAAGTCCAAACCTGTCAGAGCTCCTTACAGATGCAACCCTCCTGGCTCGCCAGCCCTCCCTCCCTCCCTCCCTCCCCCCTTCTTCCCTCCTTCCCTTCCTCCCCCCCTCCCTCCCTCTTATCCCTCTGCCCCACTCCAGCACCCCTCCCTCTGGATTTCCAGCTTGGAGGCAAGTGACCCCCAGTGAGGAAGTGCAAGAGGTTCCTTATTAAAGCAAGGAGAATGCATCGCGGAGTCAGGAAGCGGAGGCTCAAAACACCTCCTCCCGCACCCTAGAAGCAGATCAGTTCACCCGGCTCTCCAGGTCCACAATAGGCCGGGCTTCTGAAAGGAAGAGGCTTAGAGCAGGAGGGCAGCCCACCCTTTCAAACACTGGAGCATCCGCTTAAACGCGAGATGGAACCGGCCGCGCCGCCAGACCAGAGACAGGCGTGGGCAGGCGAGGGTGTGCGTGAGCCCAGGGGCAGCCTGTCCGTGGGCGAGAGACATCCTCAGTCGCCGCGCAGGGAGACCCGCCACGGGTGACACAGCCCTGACTATTAACGACGTCAAATGTCCCCCGCAGGCACCCGGGCTGCGGGGCCCCAATCTCCCCGGATCTATTTTCAGACAAGTGACTCACAACCTCGTCTCTCCCTAAGTCATTCCATTAAAATGAGTCGCCGCCGCCGGTTCCACTAACCCCGACTTTCCGCTGCTCTCCGCTGGCCGCCCCTCCCTCCCTCCTCCACTCCGCCCAGCCAGCAAACCCAAACAGCTCGCAGACGGAGCCCTAGCACCGTACCCCAGGGGAGCGGGGGGGGGGGGGGGAGAGCAGGCTCTCCCTCCCGGCCCCCCAGCCCCGGGGAAGGATGAATGGGGCCGCAGGCTGGCAGCCGGAGGGCGCGTGCGGGGATGTGTCCGCGGGTGCGCGCGCGGGCGCGTGGGCAACGCACCCCGGCCAACTTACTGAGGTGGAGTTGGTCCTCCCGGGGCCCTGGCTCCGCACCTCCTGCTCCCGGAACTGCAGGCCGGCCAGATGCTTCTCCAGCGCCTCCCAGTCCATCGGGGGCATCGGGGGCTCCTCCGGGGCGCACGTCCCGCTGTCCGTGGGCTGCAGGTAGAGGCCCCCCGACACCGCGGGGCCCCGGCCGCGCAGGCCCCCCGCCAGCTGGGGCTTCTGCACCGCCCGGCGGGGGACGCGAGCCCCGCCGGGCCAGCCGGGCAGCACCACGGTGTTGCCATTGTGCCTGAGGTCCTGGGGGTCGTGCGGGTGGAGGTTGCCGTTGGGCAGGGGGGGCGGCATGGCGGTGGTGGCTCCTTTGCCGCCGCTGCAGCTGCGGGTCCTGGCGCTCACGTCCCCCGGTGGTTCCCGGGCGGGACAGCGGTCATCCCCGTAGCCTCGTCCGTCGCGTTCGTCCTCCTCTTCCTCCTCCTCCTCCTCCTCCTCCCCGTCCTCCTCCTCCGGCGCCCACTCATCAATCACCTTCTTGTGGTACCCCGGGAAGGGCTCCTCATAGTCCTCCAGGGCAGACTCCAAGTCCAGGCTGCCCCCCGGCGACGACGAGGATTTGCACTCGGAGCACGGGGTCACTTTGGCGGAGTTGGACTGCGAACTGGCGCGGCTGCTGCTGCTGCTGCTGCTGCCGCCGCCGCTGCTGCTGCTGCTGCCGGCGTCACTGCCTAGATCCATCCCATCCTCTCGGTAATCCTGGGGGGAGGAGGAGGCAGAGAGAGTGAGCTGCCGCCCGGCCGAGCGCGCTCCGGCCGCCCGCCGCCCGCCGCCGCCGCCGCCGCCGCCGCCGCCGGCACCCGGGCCCCGCGCGCTGCTGCGCCCTTCGGGCGGGAGGTGCGGGGCCCCGCCGGAGGCCTGGGGGCGGGAGTCGGCACCAGCCTGAGGCATCCCTCCCCCCTGGCACCACCAGACTTTCCTCCGGGCAAACTGATCCTCAGATCAGCAAAGGGGGTGCCCGGCCGCCGGCGCGCACACTTTCCCGAAGAGGAGCCGCGGGGCGCGCGGGGACTCGGCGTTAACCATTTTGCGCCCGCCCGGCACCCCGCCCGCCCCGAGGAGGATTCTCGGGGAAGCAGACACTTTCCGGGAGAATTCTAATTCCCGGCGGGCGGGGACGGGGAAGGAGGTGGGCGGATACTAAATTCGCACCTCGCTCTGCGGGCGGAGGCCGCCTCCCGCCGGGCCCCGCCCCGCCCCGCCCCGCCCCGCCCCGCCCCGGTGGGCGGCGGGGAGCCCGGCTACTTTCTAAGGAGCCGCGGGCTGCTCGGAGCTCCGACTCCCGCCTCCGCACCTCCCCGCCTCCCCGGCTGGCTCCTCCTCCGCCCGCCGGAAGGCTCTGGGGAGTAGGTGGGCGCTTGGCCGGGCGGCTCCCACCCGGGCGCCCCCTAAGGTGTGCGGGCGGGCGCGGCCGCAGTCCCCGCAGGCGCGGGCGCCGCCGCCCGGGGAGGAAGGACGCGCCCTCCCGCCGGCGAGCCGGTCCCGCCGACCGAGCATGCCCAGAGGATGCCGGGCGGGGCGCGCGGTCCGCTCGCCGGCTTTCGGGAAGCCGGGCGGGGATGGGGTCGAAGAGGCCGGGGAAAAACCGAAGGAAGGGGGTCGCGGGGACCTAGGGGCGCAGACCCGGCCCAGGAGAAGGGGCGGCGCCCTGGAAAGGGTGGTGCATTGTAACCCCCAGACGCTCCCGCATTTCCTGGGCGCGTCCCAAGCTCTCTCTGTGGGGGCCGATCACCCCCCCGCCTAAGCCTCCGGAGACCCCCCCAAAGCGCGGGCTCCACGCTTCCTAACCCACACGGAAGTCCCCGAGGGATCCCTCCCTCCTCCCTCCCCTCCCCAAGGACATCCCTCCCCCATGCGCGCACAAACACAAGCCCATGCGGGAGCCCGGGTGTCGTGTGAGCAGCGGTCAGGCACCATCATTTCCCTCCCACCTTCCCACACGCTTCCTCTCCGCCGCCAGGCTCCTCCAGTCTCCCAGCCATCTCCCCTCCCAAGTTCAGGCTGTGGGTGGGACCTGTTGCTTCAGCTCCGTTTCCTTCCCTCCGGGCTGCAGGCTGAGTGAGGAGGACGACCTCAGGGAGGTGTGTGTATGGGGAACAGAGGCGGCAGTGTGAGTGGGACTGATACCTGGCACGGAGGTGGAGAATCTGTTCGAGTGCCTCCAAAGCCCCCTTTGGCCACCTCCAAACAAGGAGGGGAAGAAGAGGACATCCAGTGACATGCTTTTGGCACACTGTATGGTTTGCTTCTTCCAGTTTTTTTAGGGAACTGACTCCAAGAACCAACCCTATGCTGGGGTTTTCAATTATTATAGATGAAGGGGAGATCCTTTCCACCGTGTATACGGACATAGAAATCACCATGTACATACAAATCAGCAGTGTACACGGACATACAAATCAACATTAAAATTTAAATATCTTACAATTTCACGGGGTGGGAGTTAAAAAGAGAAACAGCATTTAATGTTACAATGGGTTGAGGAAAACCAGTTTCCTTAAACTTCCAGATGTGGTCCTGCTGCTAATTATCTCCAGTGCCCTGGCTGGTGGCACAGCCCAGCTGCCAGGCAGAGGACCAGGGGGCATGCTTAGGATTCTTCAGTAGGGGGTGGCAGCCATTTCTTCAGGGTCTTAAGGGGGATTGGATGTAGAGACCCTGTGCTTAAGGGAGGCTCTTTCCTCTCCTTGGTAGGCCTGAGCCTGGGAAGATAAGCTAATCTTCAGACTTTTCTGGAAACGGCAATCTTACGAATAACAGGAAAAGGGAGCTCTTTGTGTTCTGGAGCTCTTTGCAGGGCCGGTTATAACGTAGAATGTCTTTTACGGTAAGATCTGTCAAGAGCCTGCCTGGTGCTCCAAATATGGTTTGCTGCAGAGCCCTGGGTCAGCTGGCTGCCTGCTGTGGGATGGAGGTGGACCTAGGAGTGCTCAGAGATGCGGATAGAAAGCATTGTGTGCCAGGAAACAGATAGCTGCTTTTCAAGTAACTATGTCACTTGGCAAGGCTTAGGTCAGAAAAAGCTTCTTGCCTGGTGGCAGGACACAAGTAGGCAGACGAGTATTGATTAACTGTGGCAATAAGAGACACTTGTGGCTGAGACCGCTTTGGCTCAGTGGATAGAGCGTCTGCCTGCAGACTGAAAGGTCCCAGATTGGATTCTGGTCAAGGGCATGTACCTTGGTTCTGGGTACATCCTCAGTAGGGGGTGTGCAAGAGGCAGCTGATTGATGATTCTCTCTCATCGATGTTTCTAACTCTCTATCCCTCTCTCTTCCTCTGTAAAAAATCAATAAAATAAAATAAAGACACTTGTGGCCTCAGTGCAATTTTCAGACATTGGGACCTCTTCAACCATTCACCCAGTCTCCCTCCTGGGCTTCAGCTCATCCCCCTTGCTGCCCAGATGGTCTGTATTTGGGGAATGCAAAATAAGGCCTTCAGAAAACATTTGGCAAGTAAACTCACTGCCAAAACGCACGGCATTTTGAAGCCAACCATGAACATCTTTGGATGATCTGTCCTTTCAAATTATTTTTTGACCAGATATTCTGGATCAGATGAAAAACCACCATGCTTCCTTTCTTTTTTTCTCTTGATGCAAGGTGCCTGGCTAGCCCCGTCTCCATTCTGTTTCCAGCTTTCCATCGCCTGCCAAGAACTTTGGGACAGGAAGGCCTGCCAACTCCGAGGCCAGCAACCAGTCTACAGATACGTCCAGCGGGTTGGAGAGATGATTTGCAAAGTGATTGAAATGTCCTGTCTTCCTGTTTACAGAAAGTCTCCTCAAGTTAGGGGCATGGAGCTTACAGACTTAGATTCGTCCCCTTCAACCTTTGTAAATTAAACACCAGAGACATAAGTAAAGCGAGAGCCATCCCAGATCAGCACCTTCCTCCATCAATCACCAAGTCCTTTCCCTCTTTCATACCCCTGCCCCCACCCTGGTCTAGACCCCTTGTCTTGACCCCTTGTTTTTTACTGAACAGTCTCCCAACAATCTTCACCCATTCTCCTCTAACAGTCAGAGTGGCCTTTCTCAGATACAAATATGAGCAAATCTCTCTCAAGCTTCATTATCTACCCTCCCCAACTAAGATTCCTCATTCCCCTTAAAGAATCTGCGCCCCCCCCCCCTCAACTTCCTTTGAAAAATCTCTATTCATCTTTTAAGTCTCAGGTGAAATGTCACTTTCTCTTGGAAGGCTCCACTGATTCTCTATACTAGGGGTGTCGAACTCAATCAGAGAAGGGGCCAAAATCTAAAATCCAGCCTAAATCGCGGGCCGAATGGTTTACTGAACAGTCATAAACTGTCATTGTGATGGAAACGCAGCGGAGTGCAGTGATGACAGCGTGGTGCGGGCCACATTGCAAGGCCTGGCGGGATGGATTTGGCCCGCGGGTCTGGTGTTTGACACATGTGCTCTATACCTATCCGTAGAGTCAGGTGACCTCCCCAAGCTTCCATGACACTCACTGCACTTATCACATGTGCTGTATGGAGGTTGCTGTTGAACTGTTTATCTTTATTACTACTACTCAAGCAATCCATTTGATATCAAGATCCAGGCCACACATGCATATAAAAACATATGTAACTGAAAAAATGTTTTATAAACTCTTATTTTGTAAAATCCTATCTGACTCCATTTAAAACAAAATCTGGGCACACTTCATTATATTGATTTCACAACCTTTAAATGTGTCAGGGCTCCTAGTGTTAGAAAATACTCTAAATTCCATGAAGGACGTAGTCATTTCTATCTTGTTCATGGTAACTGGAGTGGAATAGGAGCTTTATCAATAGTGGATGAATTATTAATTTTAACATTCACTTCCTTTCAACCTCAAAAACCCTATGAAGAAACTCTTCCCCATTTATAGGTGAGGATGCTGAAGACAGTGGGGTTAAGAAACGTGCTTAATGTAAAAAAAGGTGAAAAGCCAGTGGCAGAGTCAGGATTTAAACCTGGGTAGTTTGGCTTCATCATCCTTGCTCTTAGTCACTCAGCTAAAATTCAGTATCCCTTGGCCCAGAGGCATATGGACGGATTTACCAGCAAAAATACCGGAGGGGTCTCCTTGCAGCAACCTCAACCTCCTGTCTTGCAGTGGTTCCTCCAGCAGCAGTTGTGTCTACGCAGAGAGGAAGGCAGCTGGCAAGAGCAGCTGTTCTCTTCTGCTCACATGTGCTCGACCTCCTCAACTGTCAACAAGTTCAGCAGATTTCAGCAAGTTGGGAGATTTCATTGTGCAGAGAATACAGACATCTCAGAAAATGAAACTCCCCATTGGTGTGAACTACATGCCTTAAGTTCCCCTCAAAACAAGTCCTTGAGGAAGATAGCCACCATGAGATTGGGTTGTTCAGTTTGGTCCTGGAGAGGAAATTGCAGTGATACTCAGAGAGTAGGGATGAGGGCACACTTCTCAGAGGTCAGTGCTATTTATAGGATTTTGATCGGTAAAGACGACACTGGAGAAAAGACCTGATTGAAATACTTAAATATTAAGGAGTATAAAAAGGTTGGAAACAGATGCATTTGAAAAATTCCCCAACGAATTCTAAAGTTATTAGCTCTAATGCTAAACTTCTCTAAATTATGGCATTTAGAGTAACAAAGAAATGGCTGGCAATGGGGTTTGAATTTCATCTTTATTACACATATTGCATGCAAATCATATGCAGTACACAGGTGCTCTCTTATTTCATCACCTGAATGTAACTATGGAGATTTTTTAAGCACTGTGGCCAAGGAGTCCTGGATGTAGAACATCTGGGCTTAGTTCCCAGCCCTGTCTCTAACCAGTTTTGTGACCTCAGTTTCCTCATGAAGGAGGCTGAACTGCATGATATGGTGCTAAGCAAATAGTAAGAATACATTGAATGAGTGAATGAATGAACTAACAGCTTCTTCCAGCTTAAAGATTCTTGGGATTTCATCCTAGATACTGGGATATCCTATATAATAAAAGCCCAGTGACTGAATGGCAGAATGACCAGTTGACCATTTGCTATGATGCATACTGACCACAA